ACACTTACATCTAGCACAGGATAAAATATGCAACTGTCAGAATCAGACATTTTATAAGTAAAGCTGTTTTTAAAGAAAATCTGTGACTGAAGAACCTGGTGGAGGATTTTGCAGATAAAGCACATCAAGTTTCTGGACTGCCCAGAGAGTGATGATTCAGTTGAACAAATCACAAAGAAAATTTTGCAGTGCTTACACAGAACAGCATCCTCAATGAAGAAAAGTATTTTTTTAAAGGCAATTTCATTTGATTCTAAATATAGAACAAAGTGCAGCATGTTCAAAGAGAGGGAATCAGAATGGTTAAGTCTGAAAAACATAGCACATGAGGCCAGTGGAAAGATCGAGGGCTATTTGGTCTAATGTAGAGCAAACCTGGGGATGGCACATCTCTGTCTTGTTGTGGAGACTCCAGAAAAATATCTCTTGAACTTCACTCACCTAACAGAAGCTGGCATCTGCTCTTCCTGTCTGCCAAACAGCCCTCTTTCTGGTGGGAACTGTTAATCTTCCAAGTCATGTGCTTCTGTACAGCTGAAAGTCATGGTGCCTCACCTCTGCCCAGTAATCAGAATGTGTCATCCCAACACCATGGTGACTGGCTAAAAATGGCAGGTGTGACTCAAGCAAAGCCAACCAAAGTTCTTCCCTAAGAAACAGCATTTAGTTTTCTTGTCCTACACATTTATGTGTCGAGAGTGGATTTGGATATGTTCCCTATGCTATTTGCTTTCCGAATGGAAGAATCCAGCTTGAAAATGAATCCAACAGAAATCAGAGCTGAGAAACAGAATGAGGACAAAGAGGACAGATAAAAAGAGAGAAGATATAGATATAAGGAAGCAGAGAGGAAGACAGAGAAGGCAAGATGGAGACACAGAGTAGGAGGAGACAGAGTGAAATCTGTTGACATTGCTTCCTTCTTTGTAGACAGCCATGTCTGCCAGATTTTTCAGTTGAGTGAACCAAACAATTTAGTTCTGGTCACTTGTTGCTGAAAGAGGCCTTACTGATAGGCCATCCGATAAGCACGTTGGTAAGGACACTCTCTTCACACAGTTCATTGGCATATATCCAAGAGAAAGTCCTTTTTAAAATCTTACTTAAAACACAAACTTGAAATATACTCACATAACAAGTCCACTTACTGCACATGAAGTGCTACAATTTACAGTGGTCACCTCAGGGCATGCAGCTGTGAAGGTGAGGGGGGAGAACTGGGGACATTTTATGTTGTTCTTGTAAACCTAAGATATCTTTACCCATGTTATGCTCAGGTGTCATTTTGAGTTAAGATTTTTTTTAAAAAAAATTGTGACTATTAGAAAAGAGATGAAATAGATCAAATGTGAGTTGTGGGATGGGTGAACAAAAATGAATGTGAAGGAAATCTGTCCAGAGGAGATAATGAGGGCTCCCTCAGAGGGAGTATTTTGGGGGTATTTTGTGAGAAAACATTAGCCAGGAAGATCCTGTGCTCTTTGCCTTGCTCTGACTTCACAGGGGACTCCCAGCACTGAAGTCAGAATGTTCTCAAAGAATTGAGGAATGTGACACCCCAGGAACACTTGTAGCTGAAGTCCAGTCTGGGTGCACTTTTATGTGAGAAGGTTAAGGTCAACCAAAGGGAAAATTGAAGTTTAAAGGTGTATTTCAAAAATTAGTAAAAATAATGAGTCAGCCCTAATGCCATTGACCATCCAATGTAGCCAACACCATGCCCTCCTCTCACCCCCCTCATAACTTTATCTTTTAATGCCCTGGTGGAAATTCATTCCCCTTCCTCTCCCCAGCCCCTCAATCTCTCTTTCTCTCCCCTCACCTCACTCCCTTCCCCCACCACTACTCCTAAATGTTCATCTATATATTTATTTTATAAAAGTGGAATTATGTTTAAACATTTAGGTCTGAAAGTTGCTTTTTCTCACGTGACACACCTATTATCTCTTTCCATACACACTATTTCTCATGATTTTTAATGTCTTCACTATATTCCACTTTTATTTTTTATTTTTTTAAATAAGCTCCTGTTTTTTAAAAAAATGTTTTATTTATTTTTTAGTTGTAATTGGATACAATATCTTTAATTTATTTATTTACTTTATATGGTGCTGAGGATCAAACCCAGGGTCTTGCTCGTGCTAGGCAAGCACTCTACTGCTGAGCCACAACCCCAGCCCCAGTATTCCACTTTTAAAACAATGTTCTAGTACAGCTACTTGGCTGTTTTTCATTAACCACAGAACTTCAGATTTCAAAATGTCAACTACACTATAAAGTTTTTAATGTCATTTTTGACCTCTCATGATCCATACTGTTGAAGCATTTATTTTAGTTTTGGTTTGAAAATAATTTTTAAGAAGGTGATAAGCTTTCATTAACAGGATTCAATTCTCTGGTGCCAAGGAAGAACAATGGACTGAGAACAGTAGTTGGAGAAAGGCATTGTGTCATATTGAAAGAGTTCTGCATTCTGCTTTGATCCAGGAGACTCATTTGGAGGGAATTAGGAACCCAAAGTGAGTGTTCTTTCCAAAGGTACTAGCCTGCATCAGTCACCCTAGAAGACAGGACGTCTTGCCAAGAATCTCATGGCTAGCGAGGACATCGCACCTCAATGAGACACTTGCTTTGTGTGCTTTGCCACAGCCAGGCCCTGCCCAGTTGCCAGACAAGGAGGCACACAGCAAGAACTGGATGATAAAACCATATTCTTCCAAGTTAAAACACTGCCTTGCAATATTTAGGATAAACCCTCCAGCCCGATGAGAGTATCACTCTTGGGACAGGGAGCACTGGAAACAAATGACAAGTTTCCCAGGCTCCCAAAGCAAAGCAAAACAAAACAGAGCTATCTGACCCCATCTCACTTATGGTACTGGAGTGTTCAATGTCCACTATGAGAGAAAGAAATGGAATTTTTGGCAGCAGTGCTCACAAAGAGAATGTGCCGATCACTTTGTTCAATTGCATTTGTCAAATATCTAAGTAAACGTTTACATAATTACTGTCTATTTGCCGATATCTCCATTCAAATGCAAGTTCTGTGAGGGGAGGCATCATCTTAATATCCTACTGGAGTGAACACTCTGCTCCAGGTGGTCCCATACTTCCCCCATTTCTTCCTCCATGGCTTATTGTCTTACCCTTGATTTTGCCCAATCCTCAAGGTGACCACTAGCCATCCTGTACCCCCAGCCTTGTCTTTCTATGTTCCTCTAATACTTTCAGTCTCACTGTTCATTTCAGCATCAGTCATACATGCAGGTTTCAAGATATCCATGTATTTTTTTTATTTCTCACGTTTACTTCCTGTATTATAAACTTTCATGTGGTATATGCCAAAGACTTTTAAAAAGTCTTTCACTGTCTAAAGTTGAACTGTTGTAAAATTAAATAAACACAGTGTCAAACTATGACAGATGAGGGATCTGGCAGTTTGATTTTACCATTGTTCTTTTTCTCTAGCCATACAGTGTAGTTTCATTATGCAAGCATGTAACTTAGGCACCTTCAACTATATGTTCTTAGCAGAAGAAAAGAGTGAGCAATTTAAACAGAGCAGGCCAGTATGCTTCCCATTCCAATCAATGAGCAGATGTCCTGAGACCAGATGAATCTGCTGTTCTCTGTACTGATTTCAGTCCCTAGCAACACCCCCTCTCCCAGTATAATTCTCTGGGAAGGTTATGATTTTACTGTTTTAAGGTAAATATTTTAGGTATTCCACAATCCATAATTTTGGCCAACAACTTTTCCTAGGCTTCAAATAAAGAAACAGTGATCTATCCCAAGATGGGGAATGCATGGAATCTGCACCCCACACTTTTTTTTGGAAACTAAATCCTTAGCTATGACTAGAAACATATGTTCCTGGAATCATCTGACTTTTAAATTGCATTCTGCCTTTATTATTCAATAAAAATAAGTAGGAATTGGAAAATGAAAAGTGCTGATACAAGTGATAAATACACAAAATCTCCAACAAATAAGGCAGAGATGCAAATCATTACACCTCCTGAAGTCAAATATGAAGAAAAAGAACAAAATTATGCAATAGAAATGAAATTCTAGACCTGGACACCCAAAACAGGTAATTATTGGAAATTTTATTATTATCTTTAGTTTTCTGGTAATGAAACTCCAAAATCACATGCACATGCCTAGATATTACTACATAGATGTAGTTTAGGGAATGATCAAGTTCAAATATAAGGCACTATCATTTGGAACTGGTTCAGCTGCCCATCAGGCAGATGTATTAATTATTTTTTTCTTTTTTCATTTTATTTTGATTATGCATTACATAATACACTGCATGCTAATAATATACTGCATAACCTCCCAACAGGGGTAGATAACTCTGAGTTATTTTTTTCATCTATCAGGAAAATGCTTCCTTGAATCAATGTCCTCCAAACCATTTGGCATGCAATAATAATTACTCCATCAAACTCCACTGATAGGGACAATGGGAAATCTTTTTTTTTTTCCCTTGAACTTACAGTTGTGTGCAGTGGCCACTCTGGGGAGGATAAGCAAGCACATGTTCATGATGCTGAGTCCAGGAAAAATGCCCAACCACATCTTGACATACATACCTAAGGCAAAACCCTACCCCTGACTCCTTAAAGGTGATCTTGATTAAGATGCCTTAATTCTTGTCAATTGGTTCCCTTAGAATTTTGTTCATGCCATAAGTACAGAATTTAGAGCTATACGGTAAACATGACTGCTAGTGTCTTTTGCTACCTAGATATCTGGTAAGTTCCCTGCAGCAGGTTCTAGGTCTTTCTAATATCTAGATCTGCAGAACCTTAGAAACCGCCTGTCTAAAATGGAGTCCTCTGTAAATTGAATGAATAATTGAATAACCAAATTTGCCTTTCTGAGATTTATTTCTTGCAATAAGTTAGAGAAGAAGAAAAGACATTGTCCAGTATACACAAGGTCACTTCTGACATCCCCAAGATCCACGAGACACCCTGCTCTCCCCTTACCTATCCAGGGAAATGCAGCACAGGTGAAAGATTGATGCCGTTGTGAGTAGGACATCTAGGGATGTCCGCACAAGACAAAACATCTCTCCATAAATCCAGATGTCTTGAACCAGTTCAATGGCACCGAAGGGCATCACCAGCACCGAAACCAGCAGATCCGCAAAGGCAAGAGATACGATGAAATAATTGGTTTTTATTTTCCTGTGAGTGAAAAAATATAAGGAAGACGAGAGAGAGGGGGAGAGAGAGAGAGAGAGAGAGAGAGAGAGAGAGAGAGAGAGAGAGAGAGAGAGAGAGAGAGAAGAGAGGGAGGAAAAGGAAAGAAGTCACACATTTAACATATTCTGAGATTCTGTGTGCTCATCTGCTCTTCTGTAACACGCTGAGAAGTTCCTGAGTGGTCCAGCCTCTCTGACTTCTTCAGACCCATCTCAGGTCCAAAGCCCTCTTTTTCCTTCTTCCTTCTGGTCACTCTTTGCATCCTCCCTTCCAAGGGTCTTCGCATGGGTTCCCTCTCTCCAATTACTGGCCCAGTTACATCTCCTCCTCACTTTAGCCCCGAGCAGGGCATTCTCAGGGACCCTCGAAGCAAGGTGTTCCCCTTACAAACAGCAACTTCGACCATTTTCCACCCGGAGACTGACTCTTGTGTGTCTCACATGTGTACCACCAGTCAGGATTGTGTTTTTACACCTCATTCACATCATTATTGATCAGCGCTGGCCTTGCTCAGAAAGGAACTGTGTCGTGTGTCCCCTCTGGTGACTCAGTGGCTCTGACTTCAAATCGCACACAAGAACTACACACTGCATTTCAATACATCTTGGTGCTCCTGGTTACATCCCAGATCCATTAGTTCATAAACCTTGGTTGCTTATTATCTCCTTCCCCACAAATATTTTCAGATAAAAATCCCAGTTCAATGTGGATCTTAAGAATATTTTTATAAGTATGACCAAAATATTTCATGGGACATAATTACACCACATAGTAACATTTTTTTTTTTTTTAAAAAAGCATTTTAGGTGATTCTAATTGTAGGCAGGGGTGGGAATAATGAAGTAAAAACATAAGAAGATCCATGTTTAAATCTATAACCATCATTAGTCAACTGCCTCTTCCCAGAACCATTGGTAAAGTCAGGGGCTTAGATTCAATGTGCTCTCCACAATTGAGTATACAGTGATCACAACTACTAAAAGCCATGACAGGGAAACAGATGGTATACCACAGTGCTTATACTGGAGATGTTAGAGTTGTAGGATTGTGTGTCAACCCTCTTCCCTTCTCTGTTTTTTAAAAACTATTCACGTAAACTTTTTCCTTCATAATTACAATGAAAATGTTGAGACCCAGCTCTCCAGGGAGATTCCAGAACTCCACTCCTGTTTCCCCAGGAGGTCTCCTGGAGTGGCTTACCGGAGATGCCTGTCCCTGCACACAGCCACCATCACTAGCAGGTTGCCCAGAATGGCCATCAGGATGACTGCCGAGAGAAACGTGAGCAGCAAGACCTTCTCCAATGAACCAAAGCCCTCCTTGGAACTGGAAGACACAAAAACACAAAGAATTTCTGGGGACTGAGACATGGGAAAGAAAACTTGTCTTTTCCTCATTGACCTTCAGGAAGCAGCTGCAGCAGACATTTATCATGTGCTGAATACATGCCAGGGTCTGAACCCATCAGTGGACAGGCCATCCTGGCTAACTTCTATATAATGAGGAGATGAGGCCAAAGAGGTGAACACACTAGCCAATGGTTGCACAGCTATTCTCCATCAGATAATAATTCATGATTTCCCTTCAGAGACTACATCTCAGCAGGTATTCAGAAATGTATTTGGAAGATTACCGTTTCGCATGTCTAATCCAACTATATTATAAGCTGCACAAGTCAAGGACCTCAGCTGTTGTATTCACTGGTGTATGGTTAATGTGTCATTCACTTTTGTCAGATGAAGGAAGGATGGCGCTGCATGAATGAATGACAGTACCTGGAACCAGGGTCTGCAGGCATACAAGGGTCACTCTGTTTTCAGTACCCGAGTCCAGCCCACACAGAAGCCACTGTTCACAGGTGGGCTGCCCCAAGGAGAGGAGATCAGATTTTTTGAGGTGCAGAGGACAGACAGTAGCCAACCAATGAGCTGAGGGGCTTCTGCAGCTGCCCTCAACTCCACTTCTCTTGGTACCTAGCAGATGTCACTTTTTTACAGTTCAAATTTATTTTCTCGTCAATTTCAGCATCTGATTTAATCTACAAATTCTTCCTTCCTGGTCTAAGTCAAAAATTTGCTTTATTAACTTGAAGTGAGTGACCTCTGTTAATGAAAGTATAATATCTGCAGGTTATTCCAACGTTACAGGAAAATGTTTTATTTTAATTGTGTTAATAAAATGTTTGTTTTAATGAAGCTCCAAAGGATCTTTAAACTCCTGAACCGAAACCCCACATTTGGGAAATGTGGGGGAAATTGGGGATCTGAGCTGTCAGAACACATTAGAGGCTGCTCATCCTGGAAGCCCACCACTGAGAACACAAGGTCCAGAAATGAAGGATTATCTGTTCTTACTGAACTCCTTTGACTGATAAATCAAGGTAGGCACCGACCCTCAATGGCAGCAGTCTGTCAAGTCTGGCTTTGTTCCAACTTCTTCCTTTAGGCAGGCACAGGAGACAAAGTGCCAAATGGGATGAGAAACCAGCCTTACTGTGGTTGGAGAATGAGAAAGTTCCTCCACTATATTGAGAAGGGTTTCTACAGATTGATTGATTTAAATATCCAGGGCTGGGATACAGATGAAAAGAAAAAGGTGTGTTCTCCTAAATCACCCTTCCACATTTAAGTGCCAACTATCAACAGTACAAATATTGGACAGGGAAGATTTAATAAAATGTGGAAAAAGACATCAAAAGGGTAATGTGGCCATGGAAAACTTATTTGATTTTAGGCCATATCAAGTAAGGTGAAGTATCCAACAAAGGAGGTGATGGTGGTTCTTTTCCTTGTGCTGCTTACAGGCTCTGACTCAGAATCCCTCTAACCACCGCCCCTGCCCCAATTAGGACCCTGTATTTGATGTATTTCTTTTCTCAAGTGCTTCTTAATTGACTGAATACTCCTTGTAATTCAGATCTCATATCAAATTCAACTCACATTTAATGTGCTACTGCCAACAAACATTTTTCATTTCTTTATACCATTTGTTGTTATTGAAATGACTTTTTATTGATTATTTCTGTTTATCTCCCTCACATATTGACTTTAGTTATTTTTATTAACTAAAGGTGCTAGGGATTGAACCCAGGGATCTTGTGTGTGCTAGGGAAGGGTTCTACCACTGAGGTACACCCCAACCCAGACTCTGGTTATCTTTTTCACTCTTCCAGTGCCTGGCACAATATCTAGTCTATGGTGTGAGTAGCCTGTAGGTATATGTAGTACACAATAAATATTCTATTGTTTGCTGATTGAGTGAAAGACAGACTATGCTCATAATGGTGAGGTTAGTTTTTTCAACACTTTTGAAAATGGGTTGAAAGTAT